GCTTCCAGTGAATTCATTTAGTTTATAAATCAACTTGTCACTCCACTTAAATAATTCAGGATTTTGCTGGAGTTCTTTCTCCTCAAAGGAACAACCTTCACTAACACATGAGAGTAAACAGATGATTTTCTTTCTTCTCTTGTCCTCTCTGAAACAATCTTCCAGGATCTATTGCTTTCACTAGGGGGTGGGCACTCAAAGTTAATGCCCTTTCTCCATCTTGGGAGACAATGGGAGAGAATAAAGCCATTTTCTTCCTGCTTTCCTTAAACCCTCACAGGATTCATAAACCAGACTGAACAGTTTTATGATAACTTTTATAGTAGAGTCAGGGAAATTCAGAATTACAATCGTAATTAACTTGACCTCTCTTAAAAAGAAAGTACTTGGCACTTTGAACTTCTCAGGGACTGTAGTTACAACCCTCATCCTACAGGTGTCCTTTTCTTTGAGGCTGTCAGTCCATAACTCTCTTCCCTGGGAAAACTACACCCCTTTCCAGAAGAAGGGTCTCACCCCCTGTCCTTTCTGCCTTCTTAGTCCTTGTCGTATGGTCTTAAGTTCTAGTTAAAGGGAGCAGATGGAACACATGTATTTAGCTCCACTCTCTCACAAAAATCCCATCATAACTGCAGAAAAAAAGGACTTAAAACCAAAGGCATAAACCCAAGGATACATTGAATAGAGAGGAGAAAAGATTCTGGCAACTGAACAACGAACGAATGAGTGCCGACAGCCTTATGAGTCCAGAAAAGTCTGACTCCTTAGTGAGCAGTGGGAAAGCCAAGAAGCAACCTAATTTACATTCCAGAATCCCCAGAAGCAAACACATTGGTTGCCTAGGGGTCCCTCTGAAAATGGGGAGTTCAGGCAATGCTAACCATAGAACATTGGTTGCAAATCTGTTAGAAGCAGATTCTCAGTGTCTTTCCACTACTCCAGTCAGGTGACTGTCCTTTGACCATCTATGCAGGAGACTGGAGGAGTCATTTAAGGAAAAGATAAAACAGACGGGTCTCTGAACTGAAGAACCACAGGCAGAGTTGAGGGGTGGGCACTATCCTGGAAATATAGGGAACAGAGCAAGGATATGTGAACATTTACACACTGAACTTGAGATTCCCAGTCTTCTTTCCAGAATGTTTCTACCCAGGTCTATACTCCCTGGGCAGCAAATTTGAAACACTTCTCCAGTGACTCCACCCGGCCAAAGAGAAAAAGATCTAAAGATAACTGACATTGAAGTTTCTCCAAGGATATGCAGGCAGACCATTACTCGGTTCAGTTTTGGGCAGCTCTGGCCCCATGTGCTGTGCTGTGCTTAGTCGCTGAGTTGTGTCCGACTCTTTGAGGCCACATGGACTGTAGCCTGCCAGGCTCCTCTGTCCATGGGGGTTCTCCAGGCAAGAATACTGGAGTGGGTTGCCATGCCCTCCTCCAGGGAATCTTCCCATCCAGGGTTGGAACCCAGGTCTCCCACACTGCAGGCAGATTCTTTACCGTCTGAGCCCCAGGGAAGCCCATGGCACCTGGGATCTCTTGATCTGGCATTCAATCCACACCAAGGCCAAGTAGGAAAAGGGTTGCTCGCCAAAGAGAGCTTAGTTTCGAAAACCATAATTGCCTCCTTGGTGGTTCTTCTTTATTTCTAATATGTATTTATTTGGCTGCACCAGGTCTTCCTCACGGCATGCAGTATCTTTAGTTGCGGCATGTGAACTCTTAGTTGCAGCATGCGGGATCTAGTTCCCTGACCAGGGATCGAACCCAGGCCCCTGATCTGGGAGTGCAGAATCTTAGCCACTGGACCACCATGGAAGTCCCATTATTGGTTCTTTACTTAGGGCTTGTAAGAGGGTCCATACGGTATCCTGATCTGCTACTGAGCTAATGACTCGCAAGGGCTGAGGGAAGAAGTGCCTGTAGCCTGAATAAGAGAAACATCTGTCGTTCTGGGCTCTACTTGAAACAGGCAGCTTTTCACATCACCCCCAAAACTGGTTGGGTCAACACATCTATCGTGTATATGCTTCACAAATCCAAAGGGACTCATCTGGTGTGGTACTTCTCTTTTTAATACAGGGGACAGAAAACAAATTGTTCCTTCCTTTGAAAGGATTAGCCCAACATGCCTCAAATAATTCATTGATGTGGCAGGATTCCTTACAGATTGGTTTATATGATAGATTGCCTATTATTTCCTACTTAAAACAATAATCTTTTATTGTCTCGCACAGTTTCTGTAAGTCAGAAATTCAGACATGCACAGAGCAGACAGATTGTCCTTGCACCATGATGTTGAGAGCCTAACTGGAAGACACAAAGGCGAAGAACTGGAATCATCTGAAGGTTATTCACTGTCACGTGGGCCTGGCCAGGGCTGCTGACCAGAAACCCACATGTGACTTCTCCATGTGGCCTGAGCTTCCTTAAAATATATTGGCTCGGTATGAAGGGCAAGAGTTCTGAGAGAGAGAGCCAGGAAGAGGCCATACAGCCTTTGTATAACGCAGCCTGGGAAGAGAGTCAGTGTTGTATCTGCTCTATTCTGTTGGTTAAGGCAGTTATAAAGGTCTGTTCATGTTCAAAGGGAGAGAAAACAGACCTCTTCAATGGAAGAAGGCCAATGTCACGACTATAAGATGAGCATGTGGGATGGGGTGTATGCCAGTGAGGCCATTTTTGGAAAATACAATCTACTTTGAAGAGAGAGCCAAATTCTCTACACACTGAACTACTGCATAGATCTAAGAGATGGCACATTCCTCAGATTGCATAGTAAACTCACACTGATGTTCTATCACATGGAAGCAGATTGTTTCTGATATTTTTGCTTATCAGGATAAATTACTTCTCCCAAAGTATAATGTTAATAGACATATGTGACATGTCAAGCATTATCCTGATTAAATTTAATAAGGAGATGTCTTCTAGAACAGCACCCGTAATGAGGATAACCCACTTTGGAGGTATTAACCCAGAGAAGTTTACCATAATTTACTGTCATTCTTCCAAACCCATTCATTTTTTGCACCAGCTAGACTTCAAGGTGAATGGACCTGTGGTCTCTTAAATTTCCCCCAGAGGTGTAATACTGTTTTGATTTATTATTTCAGTAAAGAAGAGTTCCAGGGGCTTCCTCTTCCTCCACTTTCCTCAACAGTCCTTACTTCGAAGGTCAGGTCAATGTAAGAAATCTATCAGTTGCTAAGGGCATCTTTTTCTAACTGGACACTCAGAAACTTGGGGGGAACTGCTACAGGAGGGGTTTAAGATTCCACTTGGCCTGTGGTGAGGCTGACTTAGGTCAAAACTCCATCAGTACCTGATCACCATACGCTCCCACTCTGACACATGGACAAAAATACTATGAGCAGGACATAGCAATAGTTAACAGCTAGTGTCCAACTGTTGCCCAGGTGCTTGTGTAGTTTCCCTAGTGTATTTACCCAGATAAAATGGTAATGGGTCCCTTTGGGGAAAGCCAGAAGATAAACATTACACATTAATAAGGCTTTTACAAGCTCCATCCTCAAGAACACCTGTCTCTCCATTATTCAGTAGGCTGTGAACTCAGGTCTAGCAACAGAATATAGGGCTATATTTCTATCTTACTGACATCTGTCTCCAAACCCCGAGAAAATTTAGCTATACAGATCAAGTGGGGCTTTAGTGAGCTGCCATTTGTCTGGGTCCCTATCTTCAATTAATTAATCACCTCCAAAGATCTTGGTATCCATTCTGATTATCATAAATTGCAGGTGGGCCACTGTTAAAGGCTATTATTGGAAATGCTCAAGTCCACTGAAAATAGGAAGTACACTTCGCTAGTATTCTTGGCCTACAGAGAACACCTACTAAGTCATGTTTTAGTGATTCTAGCACTTCTTTAACAAAGTATGTCTCAAGCCATTGGATAAAGGGAATGCCTTCAGTGTTCTATCAGGTTGGGAAAAGGAATGATATATATGGTAATTCATCCCAGAATTCCTTGAGTTTTGGAATCTTTTCTCTACATTATACAAAGGAATTTCTGTCATCCCAGCTTTTAGGATTGGCCAATATAAGGTTTGTGTGCATGCGTATGTGTTTAGTCGCTAAGTTGTGGCTGACTCTTCGAGACCCTGTGGACTGTAGCCCCCCAGGCTCCTCTGTCCATGGAATTTTCCAGGCAAGAATGCTGGAATGGGTTGCCATTTCCTCCTCCAGGGGATCTTACAGACCCAGGGATTGAATCCATGTCTCCTGTGTCTCCTGCATTGGCAGGTGGATTCTTTACCACTGAGCCACCTGGGAATACCCTAATATAATGTTAAGTGTTATCTATTTATAATATGCCCAGGGGGACTTCCCTAGTGGTCCAGTGGTTAAGAATCCACCAACCAATGCAGGGAACACGGGTTCTATCCCTGATCTGGGCGGATTCCACAATGCCTTGGGACAATTAAGCCCATGTGCTAGAACTACCGAGCTGAAGCCGGCATGCTCTAGAGCCTGTGCTCTGCAACGGAAACCCACTGCGATGAGAAGCCCACACTCACTGCAACTAGAGAAAGCAATGAAGACCCAGTACAGCCAGGAATAAATAAATAAAGATAGTTTCCCTTACTCTGAGATAAACTTTTCTACTCTTAATTGAATCTTTTGATAAACAGTTCTTAAACTTAATCTACTCAAGGTATACAGATGGCAAACAAACATATGAAAAGATACTCAACATTATGTGTTAGGTAATTATAAACTAAAACAGCAGTGAGATACCACTACACACCTACTAGAATGGCCTGAATCCCCAAAGAGTGAGAAGACCAAGTGCTGGCAAGGATGCAGAGCGATAGGGACTCACTCATCTCTGGTAGGAATGCAAATGGCTCAGCCGCTTTGGGAGACACTTTCTTACAAAACTAAATATACACTTATCATATGATCCAATAACCATGTTCCCTGGTAATTACTCAAAGGAATTGGAAATTATGTCTACACAAAAACCTGCACACAGATGTTTATAGCAACTTTATTTATAATTGCTGAAACTTGGAAGCAATCAAGATGTCCTTCAGTAAGTGAATAGATTCAAATAAATTATGGTACATTCAGACACTGAAATATTATCCAGCACTAAAAAGAAATGAGCTATCAAGCCATGAAAAGACAAAAATGCACATTACTAAGTGAAAGCAGTCAATCTGAAAAAGGCCACAAACAGTATGATTCCAGGTATATGACATTCTGGAAAAGCCCAAACTATGGAGACAGTGAAAAAAAAACTCAGTAGCTTCCAGGAGTCATGGGGGAGCGATGCATGGAGAGGCAGAGCACAGCAGGTTTTCAAGACGTGAAGCGACTCTGTACGATACTGTAATGGCTAATGTCACTGCACCTTCGCCAAAACCCATAGATTACACAACACCAAAACGAACCTTAATGTAAATTATGGATTTCGAATGATCCGATCTGTTGCTATGGGTTCATTGTAAAAAATGTATTCCTCTGGTGCAGAATGTCAAAAGTGGAGGAGGCTAGGTGAGGGACAGAGGTGTTTGGGAACTCTACACTTTCTGCTCAATTTTGTTGTGAACCTAAAACTGCTCTAAAAAATATAATCTACTAACTTTTTTAAAAAAAGTCTTTACCACAGAACTTTTCAGAGCCATTTCTACTTGGATATTTATATTCTAGATGTACAAGAGCTGATATGACATGCAATCTTTCCCAAGCGTATTTTAGCATTTTTGTGCTGCACCTGTTAGCATCTCATGTGCCTCATGAGATGCTGTTCTGAGCGGCTTCATTTTTCCTACCCCCTAATAACTTGGTCCTTGTTCAGCTCTTGCCCTTCTCTGGTCCCTTAGATCTTGTCTTGTTTCTCAAACATGTTGTCAGCAAGGCAAGAGTGAGCTGCCTGAACCCCAAATCTGATTGTGTCACTCCACTGTTTACCACAGTTGAGGCTAAATTCGTTCCTGGGCTGCAGGAAGCCCCCCATGATCTGGTCCAACCCCAGCTAGGTCCCACCTCTCACGACACCTTGACTAATATCAGACCTTAGAAACATAGAACTGCCTGTGCTTCTTGGAATGTTCTGTGCTTTTGCAGGTCTCTCTCTGATCACATGGTACAATCTGCCTGGACTATTCTCCCCTGCTCCACACCACTCGATTAACTCCTAACTTGCCCCCAGGACTCAGCTCAAGTGCCTCTGTCCTTAGGAAGGTTTCCCCAACCTTCCTAGCTCCCATAAAGCATGTCTAAGAGCTTCTAAGCCTGTTGCCCCATGACTCTGTGAGCGTCTTAAGAGCAGGGACTGTGATTCATCTTTTTCTCTTCAAAATGCTTTTTCTTATCTCTTCAAATTCTAAAAGCTGATGGACCTTAAGGCTCAGTCTTCTCTTCATGCTTTCTCCTTAGACAACTTCACCTGGTCTCAAGGCTTTATATACCATCCACACACTGGTGACTCTCAACCCAATACCTCCACCAAACCATTTTCAATGCAGACGTCAACCTTTGCTCTGCTCTTTTTACAGATCTCCACATAACTGGCTCCTTATTCAGGTCTCAGTTGAAATGTAACCTCCTTCTGACTGCTCCACTCAAATGGTCCCATACCCACCCTCTCCCCTAATCTTGTCTTACCTGGTGTTATTACCACCCAAAATCAGATCATTCATTTACTTGTTTATTGTCCACCTCTCCTACCCACACCATCCCATGAGATCAGGGAGTTTTGATTCACTCTTTTATTCCAGAGCCTAAGACAGTGCTGGGCACATTGAAAGCTTTCTTTAAACACTTGTTGAATGAGTTGACATAGGCCTGGCACGTAATATTTGCTAACATTTGAGGGCAAAGTGCTCTGTGTGCTAAATGTACCACAGGAATTGCTTCATTTTACACAAGCCCCATTTTACACTGATACACAGGGCTTCAGTAGCCAGGTCACAGAGCAAGAAGGGATATGAACACTGGCAGTCTGGTTCAGAGCTTTCCGAGCCATTGTGCCATCCTCTCATACCCGGAAGTATTCAAAAGGTGTACTTGAAGGAAGGAAAGGGGGAGGGGCCTCAGTTTTTCTATTGTTGGGGGTACTTCTAGTTCCGATGAGTTCCAATGGTCCGGAACTCCAGCCCGTACAGACAGCCAGAATCCACTCCCTCACAACTCTAGATTCCACTGGGAAAAGGTCACCTTTCTGACTGCCTGAGTCTTGACCTGGCCCTTGGGTATGCTCCCTATGCAGTTTTTTTTTTTTTAATTAAAATACAGTTGATTTACAATGTTGTGCCAATCTCTGCTGTACAGAAAAGTGACTCAGTTATACACACACACACACACACACACATATATATATATTTACATTCTTTTCTAAATATTCTTTTCCATTCTGGTTTATCCCAGGAGACTGGCTATAGTTTCCCATGCTATAGTAGGACCTTGTTTATCCATTCTAAATGTAATCATTTTTTAAAATACAGAAAGTCAGGGAACCGCCCCTGGAAAGCAGAAAACCTGGGTAGGACTCACCCTCCTCCACGAGTGACACACGGTGAGAATGAGCGAGCAGTGCTTCCCTGCAATATTTATTAAGGAATTTACACATACACAGGAGAAAGGCAACCAGGAGTTGTGGTTCCCACAGATGAAATCTTTTAAGCAACGTTTTCTTGTTTTAATTTTCAAGTGGGGTGAACAATGACTGAGAGGAAGGCTGCCCAGGCGTCCTGCCTCCTACACCTGGACAGATGGGGGCGCAGGGCAGCCTGGACACACCAGTATGAAACAGCGACTGGCAGGTCGGAGAGGGGAAAGGAGGAACGGAGCTACCAATGAGATGGCAAATTATTTAACTAAAGAAAAACTGGCAACAGTTTTAGGCTGTTGATAAATTAACTCCTCTCTGTTGTAAACCTAAAACTAAAAAAACAAAAACAAAAATACCCAGCGCAGACGGGGAGAGAGTGGGAGATGGAATCCACACACGCACACAAGCGTACACATGTTAAGCTATGCATTCCCACTGGAGGGGCTGGTCCTCCAGCCACAAAGCCAGATCCTACCGGATGAAGGCAGGGAGCGGGGTGTGTGTCTTCGTGTGGGACCTTTGAAGAGTCTTTGGTGCTAAGAAAGGCTGACCGAAGCAGCAAGTCCTGAAGTCTCAGATCCAGGAAACAATTCAGCGTGAAGTAGAGTCAGATTTTTGCTCATCCTTGCCCCAGGGCTGGGGCCAAACTGCTCTAAGACTGCTTTAATTCGATTTCAGTACTTCCTTAATTTCCATAAATCAGGGGAACATGATGCCTCCTTTCTCACCCCCAAAATTTAAACCTATGGAAATACTGGGTTGGCCAAAACATTCTTTGGTCAACCCAATAACTTACCATCACATATAGAAGGACCTCTAAACTCTCCCCTCTTTGCCTAAAATACATCCCCCACAGACCTTTCTGAGCCTGACAGGAAGTTTCACCTTGTGGGAGAGGTGCTCAAAGGTGTGCACAGCTATCCTGCAGTCTAAGTGCCTTCTGCCAACAGTTCCTAAGGTGCGGCTGCCAGGAGAGAAGCTGGGCTGAGGCTGGGGAGGGAATCAGGACAGCTGGGGGACAAGCAACAGAGAGGTCTGCAGGTTTGCGATGCGGTTGGGCTAGGCAGGATGCCAAGTCCTAAGTGACCCGGACCGAGTGATTTCTAAACCAAACAGAGAGAAGTAGGAGAGGGGGATGGGGAAAGAGGAAACACAGGGAGACCGGGCGATGGGGAGAGTGGTAGTCATCCAGGTGTGCTGTTCCTATTTCCACATCTGAGGGCTGAGCGTCTGATTTGCCGCCTGTCCGTTCCCACCATTCATGGACTGTCCATAGCTCAGCATGCCGTTGGTGCCACAGAAGCTCATCCCGGCCATCTGCTGGGTCATCTGAAAGGGAGAGAGGAGGCTTTCAGACAGGAGGTGGGCACGGGGCCAATTAGAGCAAAGGGCGGGAAGAAGTCCTTCCGCCTGCAGGGAGAGGAGAGTGAGACAAAGGGGAGCTCTGTCGTGGACAGAACTGTCCTGAACCTGCACAGATCATTCCGGGGACACCAGACCATGACGACGGAGGCCTCTGCCGAAGGGAGATGCTGTCTGAGACTAATGCTCAGGGAGGGGAAGGGGGAATCCTGGAGTGAGTTGACATAAAAGCGGCACAGGAGGTTATTCTGTTTCCTTTCCACTCTCATTCTGAAAAGAAGGGGCCTATTGTGAACTGGCTGGAGCCAACCCTGAGAGTATAAAGAGAAGCCCCCAGCCAGCCAGCACTCCTGTCTTTTCTCCAGCAAAGCCATTATCCAGAGTGTCAGGGAGAGTGCTGTGCATGCTCCAGCAGAGAGAAGACAAAGAAAAGGAAACTGGACTTTTCAGAAAGAACAAAGGCAGGCAGAAAAAAAAGACCAACATGTCTTCACAGTATGAGAAAGCAAGTTGCTGGGAGAAAAGGGTCGGTGGCATCAGGCCTGGGTGGAGTTGATGCCCCTTTAGGAATTTGATTAAAAGACTGGCTCCTGGCAGTGAACAGACAAAACTATTTATCAAAGAAAAATGACTTAAATTTCTCAAGTCTGGTACATTTTCTGTATAAGATCTTTTCCTTTAGGAGAAAGGCTAACTTTTTTTCTTCCACCAACTTTTAAAGAAAATTTCTAATTTACAGAAAGGTTGAAAGATTCGGGTAATGAGACCCATACATCTTTCCTTAAATTCAACAACTGGTAACATTTTTGCTTTATTTTATCTTTGATATATACATATGTATCAGCTTTAAAAAAATTTTGATAGACATTGAAAATTGCAGATATTGTGACGTTTCACCTCTTAATAAGTCAGGAGGCATCTCCTAAGAAGCTTCCCAGGTGGTGCTAGTGGTAAAAAAAAAAAAAAAACCGACCTGTCAATGCAGAAGACAAAGATCCCCTGGACAAGGAAATGGCAGCCCACTCCAGTATCCTTGCCTGGGAAATCCCATGGACAGAGGAGCCTGGTGGGCTACAGTCCATGGGGTTGCAAAGAGTCTGACTCTTAGGTCTCATATGAAAGACTTTCCTAGAATTACAATACAATGAACATGTTCAAGATATTTCACATTTTAGTATATTCTAATATACATTATATTTCATTTTTCATCTCTTTAGCCTCCTTTAACCTAGAGGAGTTTCCCCGCCATTTTTTCCTAACACCATTTGAAGAATCCAGGCCAGTTATTTTAGAGAAAATCCTTTAATTTAGATTTATCTCATGTTTTCTTATGATTGGATCCAAGTTAAATATTTTTGGCAAAAATTCTAATATATATATTTTTTGATGTGGACTACTTTTAAAGTCTATTGAATTTGTTACAATACTGCTTCTGTTTTATATTTTGGTTTTTTGGCATGTGAGGCATGTGGAATCTTAGTTTCCCCGACTAGGGATCAAATCCACACCCCCTGCATTGGAAAGTGAAATTTTAACCACTGGACCACCAGGGAAGACCCCCAAAATTCTATGTAACCACTGGATCACCAGGAAAGACTCCCAAAATTCTATGTAAGTGATATTATATCCTTCTTAGTACAAGATACCAAGAAACGCATAAAACTAATGTGTCCCAGGTATTGACAATTTTATGTTTGATCACTTATCTAAGGTTGTATCCATCGTATGTCCTTTCATTGTAATTACTAAGTAATCTGAAGGGTATTTCTTTGTAAATATGTGAATACCCTGTTCTTTCTATAATTATTAGTTGTCATTCTTCTGCAAAGAAGGCTTTCTCTCTCTCTATCCCACACCCATTTTTAAAAAAATATGGACTCATGGATTTTTTTTCTTATCATACAAAGCCTAAAAGTTTACTGGGATATGTTCGAGGTGACCATTCTGAGTCAGTTCTTCCAGATACACACAAAGTAGTTTCTTTCAACATTATATTCAAGTCTTTTATTTCTAGGAAATGTTCTTATATTAAGTTTTAAATATATTAATCCTGTTCTACTATTTTAGCTTTCTTCTTTGTGTGAGTGCTAAGTCTCTTCAGTCGTGTGTGACTCTTTGTGACCCTATGGACTGTAGTCCTCCATGCTCCTCTGTTCATGCATGGGATTCTCCAGGCAAGAATACTGGAGTGGGCTGCCATGCCCTCCTCCGGGGGACCTTCCCAGACGTAAGAGAACCTGCATTGGCAGGCAGGTTCTTCAGCACTAGTGCCACCTTTGGGGGTCACCAAAGAAACATATTTATGTTAGATCTTCTTTGCCTAAGTTCTTTCTTTCTTTCTGATTCTTTTTAGTGCTCTCTATATTTAGTTTCTTTTCTCTGAGCTACTTCATGCCTTTCCTCTATGCCAAATATATTTTCAGTTGAATCTATTCTCCTCTGACTAACTTGTAATTCAGTCTATTTTTAAGATAATTGTGTTGTTTTTCAATTTGCTTCCTGAGTTCAGTAAACTTTCATTTCACAGCTTCCAGTTATTTGTCCATTTTGGTTCTAAGCTTTTCACTTTTTGATTCAAGCTGTTTTGTCTTACCTGCAAGTGTTTGTTGCTGCTGCTGCTGCTGAGGACACTTAATTCAGGGTTGTGTAACAGTTTTCTTCTACTTCGTGACTGGTTTTGGAGAAAGAATTTTCATTTCTCAAAATGTTAGACTTCGTTTCCTATTTTCTTCTCATAGTAGTTTTGCATAAATGTCACTTGCTACTTTCTGTTTATTTTGTGTGTGTGTATGCATGTGCAGTCGTGTCTGGCTCTTTGTGACCCCATGAACTGCAGCCCCTCAGGCTTCCCTGTCCATGGAATTTTCCAGGCAAGAATACTGGAGTAGGTTGCCATTTCCTCCTCCAGGGAATCTTCTCCACCCAGGGATAAACCCCTTGTCTCTTGCATCTCCTACATTGGCAGGTAGATTGTAGAACCTTATTTTTCTGAATCAGCACAGGTGAAAGGATCTGGGGAGACTTACTACATTTCTTAGTTCAAGAGCGCCCTCTTCCTTTAGTAAAGTGAAATGACTATTTGGTGGGGAGGAGGATGGTAGATCTGATTTTGTGATTCTCACTTCTTACTTCTTCACCACAAGGTCTCCAAAGAGCACCCCCTCATTCTAAGTCATCCTCATCTCTCCTAGAAACAATGCTTTGCCAAAGCTACCCTCTATAGTCCTATCTATTTCAAGTCCTTTGTTTTTGATTCTCCAAGTAACAGAGTTATACTCCACCAGGTCTCAGAACACTTCGCAGCACGTCTCTAATCAGGGCAGGGCTTTCTCTTTCTAGGGGGTGTTTTATCTGTGCTCTGTCACCTCTAGCCCCCTGCTCCTTCTCCTCTTTTCACACGGTCTCTCTGTGGTGCTGGCTCCGCTTGATTTCGGTGTTTTTAAAAATTTATGTATTTTTGGCTGTGCTGGGTCTTTGGTGCTACGAGGGCTTTTCTCTAGCTGCGAGCAGTGCTACTCTCTAGTTGCAGCGTGCAGGCTTCCCACCGCTGTGGCTTCTCTTGTTGCAGAGCACAGACTCTAGAGCGCACGGGCCTCAGGACTTGCGGCACTGGGGCTCAGTAGTTGCACTTCCTGGACTTTAGGGCTCATGCTCAATAGTTGTGGCACATGGCCTCAGTTGCTCCTCGGGATGTGGGATCTTCCTGGACCAGGGATTGAACCCATGTCTCTTGCCTTGGCAGGCAAATTCTTTACCACTGAGCCACCAGGGAAGCCCTGAATTTCAGTGTTTATAATCATGTAATTTGAGGTTTGTAGTATTCTATTAGATGCAACAGTCATTGCTTTTATTGCCACCTCTTGTTTATCTGTACAGGTTCAGTTTTGTTTTGATGACTGTGTGGAGAGTTCTAGAATTAGGCAATTACCCTTATTCTACAGGAACCCAAAATGCCTCAGAAAGTCTGAGGTTATATAGACCTTCTGTTAAAATAAATAAATAAATGAAGCAAACCCAAGAATGTCTCTGGCGATATCTCATTTACACTATGAGGATTCAAAGGATAAGGGGGCAGACACTAAGTGAGACGGCCTGGAGGGAGGCTCAGAACTCTTGTCCTGAGTGAAATGGAGCACCTTACCTGAGTTAGGTTCCACTGCAGCTGCTGAGCTGGCTGAACCCCATACATAGTCTGGGGCATAGCTGCCATGCCTGCCATGTAGCCGGCCTGCTGGGTGGTCATCATTCCGTTTGGCACACCCATCATGGAGGCCTGCATGCCCCCCATATAGCCTGCAGGCATGGCCATTGGGGCAACCATCCCAGAAGCTCCCGGCTGAGCTACCATGCCTACTGGTGGGGGCATTATGCTCCCCATTAGGCTGCTAGGAGGTGTAACCCCAGGGAAGCTGGGGTAGGCAGTGGGATACGCCATCTGAGCAGGAGCCATGAACATTGCTGCCAAGAGAACAGACATACAGATCTGTGAAAGAGGAATGCACACGCGGTCAATCCAAACACTCACTGGCTACTCCTTCCAGCTAGAATTCCTCAGACAGATTCTCTACAAGACTTGCTCTGCCTTCCAGTGGGCTGCAGACCCAGGCACTTCCCCTTTAGGGTCCAGATCCAGACCCCGAGTCAGGTTTCAGAGAAGCCAGACCCCACAGAAGCATGGCTCTGAGTTACATTCATATCCATCTCCTGATACTCAGTGGCTTCACAAGAAAAGTCATGTTCAGGCTTGTTTGGAGTATGATGTCAGGGCCCTGGCACTAGAAATAATTCCTGCATGGAAGGCCTCCCGTATCTACCTGGCACACTGCCGTGACCCCTATGAACTCTACCTTGGGTGGGCATCTGAGGCGTCTGGGATCCATACAGTGACAGGATGGAGTCTTTAGACAGCTGCTTCTTGCTTGTTTCTTCTGATTTGCTCCCTGGCTCTGGAAACAGGTTCAGGTTTTCCGGAACTGAGCCAGCACTCCCTGGGGTTGGCATGGAACCTACAACCTTAGGATAAAGGGCAGGGAGGAATTGGAATGGTCCTCCTGGGTTTCTCTGTAAGGACGTCCCTCGTCTCTCTGCTGCTTCTAACATTTGCCATGAGAAAACATGGCTTGAGTTAGTAGCTTCCTGACACTTTTACCATACAAACATCTGGAAATACCTGATAGTTAAGCTCTGGTACAATTCTTTGCTCCTTAGCAAAACAATGTGATTTGGTGAAAAACTAACAAATTAAAATGACCTACAAATGATGCAGTCAGAGAGAACTAAGATCCCAGAATCACTATGTACTGGTTGTGTAACGAGAGGCTAGTCATGTAACTTTTCTGAACTCTTTCCTCATCCAGAAGACCCATTTTGCAGGATTATGGTGAATATTTTAAATCATAAGTGAAATACACAAAATCACCTAGCACTGTGCCTAGTGTACACAGCTGGTATTCCACAAATGGAGTCACTGACGGTTTCAAGCCTTTCCTATTATACAAACTCTCTGGAAATAACTCAGGCTGAGGAGCTGACTTATACAATTAGCCTTTACAATCTGACACATCTTCAACAGAAGTTCACATAAAGGGCCCACTCTTTTTGGGCAAGAGACAAAATGGAATGAGTAGGCTGTAACAGAGGTGACAGGGTTAAGGGAAGAATCAAGAAAACCAAAGTCAAACTCCACCAAGAACGCATGACTTGATTCCAGGATTAAAGTTATCAAAAGCACACTTTACAGAATGCTCTTTCCTCCTGAGGCACCCACAAGACTCACCTTTCTGGAAACTGAAGAAGAGGGAGATGAAACAGAGGCCAAAAGATCTAAATCCTTCTCTAGGGTATTACTGGTCTTACCATTTGCAATGGAGCAGGATACAGGAGCATCTGGAAAAAGAGACCAAAGTTAAAATGTAGCCCTGCTTATTAAGCCCATTCCTTCCTTCTCTTCCAGACACAAAGTAGAGAAGGCCCACATGCTCCAATCACAGACCCTCAAATCTAGGCTCTGGAACCACACAGCTTGGATGAGGCATCTCACAAGATTCCCAAGAACACACTGGAAAAATCTGTAGCTCAGGCAGAGGACAGGAGGAACTTGGGCTTGAAGGCTACATTAGCACCATTGCAAAGGAGCTGGCTGGCTCCCTTCTGCTTATTTGAGGGGCAAAGCTGTGTAGGATTTATTCTCAGAGAGAAATGAAAAGTACAGAAATTAGAAGCTGAAGTAGCTAGTAATCAGCAGGAACGGACTGAAACAAAGTACAGCCATCAGTACTATGAAAGTTAAGAACAGGCTCTATTTCTGAAAGGGGCAGAACCACTAGCTCAGGGTTTCGAAAGTTTGGAGGAAAATGACTACAAGGTAAGGAGCCATCTCAGAAACAGGATGCACCTGGAAAACAAGGGTTGGGGGCAGGGCTCACAGGCGCTGGTCTATTGAAGTTTCCAAACACTTACTGAATGCTCAGTGTGTGGGGGCAAGGAGCTAAGAGCCTTAGAGGCATTATCTCATTTAGTCCTTCCAACAACATCTCTGATGGAGACTCATCATCCTCACTACAGGAGGAAAGTAATGTTGAGAGATTGAGCAAGCTACCCAAGATCACAAAGATAGTAAGTGGCAGAGTTGGGACTCTGGCTTCAAATGCCATGCTTAACCAGTACTGGATTTAACCACTCCTCTATTACTGTACTGTCTCCCTAGAGAATGTCAGCACTTCTTAGAACAACTGCTTAGATGTAAAACAACAGGAAGAATAGGAGGGAACAACCTTAGTGATGAAGCCACCAACTGAAAAACCCCATCTCTAACTACCTCCCCAGGATCACAGAGGATTCATCAACATTGGTGAGATTACAGGCGTGGAAAAGTCTAGCTCTTACCAAGTCCCAAGAGATCCACCACAGGAGCTTTGGATTTCGGGGAGGTTTTCCGAGGTAGCTGTGGATCTTCTTTTTTCTGTGGCTAGGGTTAAAATATGTTAAGGAAAGAAATAAGCAGGTGTTTTTGAAGCCTCTATTCCCCTCTCCAACCGTAAAGCCGCAGGGATTCTTGTGGCATGGATGTTGTTATTCAAAGAGAGTTACCAAAGAAACAGAACTCATGAAGTGTTGTGTGAAGAAAACCAAATCAGAAGGCATAGTGCAGAAATCAAACCTAAAGTGAAAAACAAAACTGTCATCTGCACTTGTCTGGCTTTCTAAAGAGACAGATCTTTCGAAAACCAAGACAACCACAGACCAGGGTATCCAACAGAAGCAGCAGATTTTGGTCCCAGGAGAAGCAAAGAATAAAGGCAGGTGTCTGATGGTACAAAAGGTAATGGTCAACACTTCTCCTAGTGATTAGAAAGCCTTTAATACCAGAAGGGAACTCATTTTATAGGTTACCTAATTCACTCTGCCAATATCACTACAGACTGTGTTCTGCAGAAAATACGATTCAGAATGATGCTAAAAGACCCTCGAAGGAAAACAGTAAAAAGTCTTCTTTCCCAAGATTCCAAACTCCTTTGTTAAGAGTTGGGACCCAGGGATTGAACCCTTGTCTCTTACATCTCCTACACTGGCAGGCAGGTTCTTTACCACTAGCGCCACCTGGGAAGCCCCATCTTAGAGTATCTACTACCACAGCCATAAGGTGTCCAGTGGGAAAAGAAAGGTGCCTACTTCATTATGACAGAGCGAGAGTACAAGAAGGGATGGTTTAAAACGAATTAGTATGGCCTGGCTTCTGGACTGTTCTTAACAGCAACAGGAAAATGAGGTACAGAAGGCCTAAGGAGAGAAGGACTAATGTAGCATCTGCTCAGAAGGTGTCACAGAGCCCTGGCATTCTGCCATGAAACGTGCCTCTTGCTCAGATGGGACAGGTGCCGTTCCCAAGCTCCCATCTGGACTTCAAAGGCAGTGTGACAGAGCAGATCAGGCAGCAACAAGGCGATAGGAAAGCAGCAGAAATGGCAGTGGGTGATCTAATCTGAATGTGGCCCTCTTTTAGGCCCAGGTGCAATGGTGCAATGTGCTCTCAACTAGCCCTCCCCCTCCCCACCCCTCCCCTCCCATCTCCTCCCCTCCACACATGTCAACACACCCTAACCCATCTACACAGCACACATATTTCCCCCACTTACCATTTTCACTTTCTCAAAAACAACAGGTTCCATTTTTTTCTCTGGAGCTGGTTCGCTCCCTCTTTTCCACTTGTTATCTTTTTCTTTCTATGATGATTTAAAAAAACAAGACAAAGAACAGGCCCCACGGTGACTGACAGTTCAACAAATTATAATCCTAAATGTCTCAAAAGGACACACAAATCCCTACTGAATCTGATGCAGCAGTCTGACGGACTGTGGGAGGGTCTTTTGTGGGGCATGAGCACTGGCCTCTTCCACTCTGGCCTCAAGGCTGTAGAGAGGCATCTTTCAAATTTCTTAAGTACCTCCCTCCTTGTTCTGTCTAATCCAGTATGACTGCTACCATGAAGACAGGGTTATCTATAGAGGTTAAAACATTTCACTGGTTTGCTGTCCCTTTCGGACCCAAGTTTAACTTGCTCATCTTGGTACAGTAGTGAAAAATGTTCATCTTACTTGACATACAGGCTTCAATCAAAGGTTCTCTCCCTTACAAATATGAGTGAGCCAAGTATGAAGTGTTTCCTTATATATAAAATGTGAGTAATAAGAGCTGTGAACTAACCCCACAGGGCTATCACCTGGATCAAAATAACAACAGAACATAAATGTAATTTGCCATATATTAAAGGATATTGTATAAATACAATGATTAATTTTTGAAGTCCCCCATCTGCCTCTTCTAGCCAGAGGGTTTTGTTGTTTAGTCACTCAGTCGTGTCTGACTCTGTGACCCCATGGACTGTAGCACGCCAGGCTACCCTGTCCTTCACTATCTCCCACAGTTTGCTCAAACTCATGCCCACTGAGTCAATGATGCCATCCAACCATCTCATCCTCTGTCACCCCCTTCTCCTGACCTCACTAATCTTATTTATAAAATGCAGGACAACTGGAGCTGAAGTTTCAATACTTTGGCCACCTGACACGAACAGCTGACTCATTGGAAAAGACCCTGATACTGGGAAAAACTGAAGGCAAAAGAAGTGGGTGGCAGAGGATGAGATGGTTGGATGGCATCACCAATTCAAAGGACATGAACCTGGGTGAACTCCGGGAGACGGTGAAGGACAGGGAGGCCTGGCATGCTACAGTCCATGGGGTCACAAAGAGTTGGACACCACTTAGCAACTGAACAACAAATACACATGAAAAATGGTCAGCCCTGATAATGATCAAAAAGTGAAATTTAAAATGTACTTTGGGACAGAATTCCCTGGCAGTCCAGTGGTTAGGACTCTGAACTTTTAAAGCTGAGAGTCCAGGTTTGATCTCTGGTTAGAGAAATAAGATTTCAAGCCACGAGGCATGGCCAAAAAAAAACATTTGGGGGAGGAGAAAAAAATCTTAATAATACTATCTAATATTGGTAGGGATGGAGTAAAACTACTCTACTCATCCAATGCTGAGAAGACAGTATAAAACAGTACAACTTCTAAAAAATATACTGGCACAAGTACAAAGAGACAAATATTGAATCCCTTTGACCAAGATTGTATCTTGTAATGTACCTCAAGAAAAATAATCCAAAACATGGAAAAAGTTACATATGCCAAGTTCATTCCAGAATAACATATCTGAAGAAAAACTTAACCTTTATGCCACAGAGGGAAATAGTAAAATAAACTGTGATCTAGCTACTCACTGAACAAGAGGCAATGATTACAAGTTGTGAAAAGTAACAAGTAAACAGGTGACAGGTAAAAACATGATGTGCTAAGTTGAAGGAAAGCAGGAGACATTCTATCCAACTATGTTACAATTATGCCTCCCAAAAGTAACTCCACAGGGGAAAATGGGGGAAACACATGGATGACAGTCATTATGAAGGTAAGAGTAGGCACGGATTTTCCACTTTAACGTTCATATTATCTGTAAAGTGATATTATAATCATGAAGAACACACACAGCTATGCTTGTTGCATACATAGTGTAACACTTTAATACAGAATACTTTATTTTTTCTTCAACCCATATTTTCTTTTTTTTTTTTCAACCCATATTTTCATGCTGTTTATGAAGGGTTCAACGTCACTGAATTTATGTTAAGTAGCTTTTATCTCTGACACAGGATTTACTTACATGGATGCAGCTGGAGCATTATATGTGAACAGCTCTGTTTGAACCAAGGTGATCAGGTTATTTAAACTTGGTTTTCACACTGGAAACAGTCATTAGAATAAGTTGGAAACATGTATAAACTGATGTAAATAAAAAATGATGATCTCAGTTATTTTAATCCCCAGTGTCTTGGTGGTTAGAGGTAAAATTTGTGTTTAGATTTTTAAGGTTCTGTTGAGGTCTAAAGTATAGTTATACAGTTAACCAAAGTAAGGCAGCGTATATACAAAAATCAAGTATCAGATGGAGAAGCAATGTATTACAGTGGAAAATGAAGACACGGAAATAAATATGTCTTAAATATTAAAAAAAAAAAATCTTATCTGTCCATTTAAAAAGAATACTCTTCAACAAAGCCAGTTTCTTTTAGATTTGATATTAAATGCCTTCACTTAGCAAATATTAATTCTTGGCATATAAATCTTCACGAAGATATTTTTTAAAAATCTAAATACATCAAATAAAAAGCTTTGAAATAGCTCTTTGGCACACAGGAAACATTTCCTTTCTAAGTGAAAACATTTAGTGAGTAAAACAGGCCGCTTTCATGGGTATGGTACAGCAGCAACGTAACTATGAATGAATACCATCTATCTCCATACAGCAACTCTTGCCTCTTCTCCTACCTTCTGAATTACCTCAGATACCTTTTTTTCAACCTTGTCTGATTTCATATGTTCTGGTACAAAGAACAGAGCTAAGCAGACAGACTACAGTTTTCTACAAAGGAAAGAAAATGTCTGTTTCTTTTGGTTTCAAACTCTTCTTGATGGTGCCATCCAAGCCGTAAATGCACTCTGGGTTAAGTCTTTCTTGAAAGGGATACGACACATCCCTTTTCTGGATGACTATGACGTAAGAGTCCTTCATACAAAGCTGAGAAGGAATTATGGTTACCTAACTACATGTATTACCCTGCACTTACTTGCCCACATTGAAATCAACTACTGGTTAGTGCCCCTTTTCACACAAGATCAAAAGATCAGTCTTGAGCTAATTCCAATTAGTTTGACTTTATCTGGAAGGGCTTAGAGCCCTGTGTAAATGTAATGATTTCACTGGCTAGTACATCTTCCATTAAAATAAATAACAGACAGAGGACAGATGATAGGTATATGGGTCTTTTGCTAGAACTAGAGAATCCCATATTCTCCACACTTCCTTAGCTAGAGAAACAGTCAATTATTTCAAAGCAAATTTATTACAGTCTTGTCAAAGGCTTTTTGAAGGTTTAAGTTAGTCATATTTATTGGTTCCCCTCTAGCTGTCATTAGGCATATTTTCTTCTTCCAGAAACCATGTTATATTTCCTCCTGCACACTGTATTTCAGATTCTAACCACATGTCTAGGATGCAGAGTGTATTTGGCAACTGGGAGTCTCCTAAAACTCCTCTCAAGAACAAGCATTCCATTGGCGGTCAGTCCACTGACACAATGGAAATAAATATATGCTGGTCAAATCTGAGGAAACTCTGGTGATATAATTACACCAATTTTGGTGACTTCATTTACAGAAAAAAATGCACACACACGTATATATGCACACACATACTATTCTATTTGATCTAGTTGATCTATTTGATCTATGCCCAACATATCCATATAAAGAAATAATTTGGAACTGGGAATCACTGACATCTAAATTCATATCATGGTAAAGAATTCACTGATGGTTGGTTCATCCCTGAGGCAAAAGTTTGCTCCATGATATCTCATGGTCTTGATTCAATAGCTGGCTTTATTCTACAATTTTTGTTTTTATGGTCTTAGAGTATTTTGGTAGCTGTTCTTCAAATTCTCCCCAGGCCTGATTAATAAGCAAATTATTTATTATGAACAAAACTTGAAGGATTTACAACGAACCCTAAAGGCATTGATGTCCAGACTTCGGTCCATGTATTTCTTCTTCTCATATTTATCTCGAATAAATCCCTCGACCGCACTGCAAGAAGCTTATTAAGGATAAAGCAAACAAATCTTTCAGACAGAATGACTATACAAGGTCAATTGGTATCCCAAGAGCATTGTTCTCCTATCTTCCTTCTGCCTGGTTTCCCCATGTGGCTCCCGTCTCTTCTGGCCTATCCCTAACCAAAACCTTAAAATGCCTCCTTCATGGCTTCTGCAAGGAATCACCATTTCCTACGATCTTCCTTCAGAGTAATGAGAGCAGAAATGGGGTCATTCTTCATTTTGACATCAGTGGAGCCTGTGGCTGTTCTACTGAGAAGGATATAGGTAAAGCAGTCAGTTATCTATTTTAAAGTCCTTAAGTCAACAGGACTGAAACAGACATCTGAGTGCCCCTTAAAAAAAATATACGGGACTTCCATGCCCCACTGCCAGATTCTGATCTGGGGTCCTCTGCAGGGCTCCAAATCTACATTTAGTATGTTCCCCCTGTACCCACCCAAATCAAACTCTAACAAGATGGTCTACAAGCCATATTTTGAGAAGCACTGCCTTCGGGGAGTTTGGTTTTATGAGCTGGGTGCTATCTCCATTTGAGGGGCTGGGAAAGTTATGGATTAACTGGTCAATAAGTTAATTCTTTCAGGTAGGGCATAAAAAGGCGTTAAAAATTAGTGGCAGTTTTGCTGAACCAACATAGCACAAAAAATTCTTTTTATCAAACAATAGTTTCAGAGATCCAAAGACTATTGGAGATGTCACTCTATGGAAGAATTCACAGTGAACCACAGCAGTCTTCATTTCTGGCTGCGTCGCCCCTGTCTGACACCACCATTCTGACATTAGAGAGTATACATGGGCTTTCTATATGTCTTGGCTGCAGGAGAGAGGAAAAGCCAGACTTCAACTCATCCACATATAAAGATGGCCCAGTCAGATCATGGGTCCTGAGTCTTCTGTAACTCTCCCAAGACACTACCACCACCACCACTACCAATAAAACCATTCAGCCTTCAAAGTTACTCCAAAAAAGATACTGGTCTATTTGAGGTCGCCGAAAGGTCTCAGGCAGGTAGGCTTCATAAAGTCGGTTTGCCTTTCCATTCCCCATCTCTTGCATGCACTGCAATCAGAGATGTGGAAACAAGGAATGTCACATTAGCGAAGAACTAAAAAACTTCTTATCCAACTGTATCATTTTACAATTAAAGAACCAACTGAGGGAGTGGCAGAATCGAGATTTAAACTTGTGTATTCTGATTTCCAATCCATGATTCTCTCTGCTCTGCTCCCAACCATTTCCTTCCACAGCTGTCTTTCCTGCCACTCTGTCTCCTTTTATTGAAAGATTTGTCTAACAAGATATATTTGATTCAATAGTAATTTAAGATCCCATTTGAAAGTCCAAGACATAGAGCTGCCAATCCAAATGCCTACTTGGCAGGCAATAATCAGTACCTAATCAGGCAGGCAGTAATTAGGAACAACTACAATTCTGAGTTTATAGTAGTAATTAACCTATCCACTGTATTACCAACAAATATGTTTCTCATTAGGCTTTTCAAAGACTCCTTAACATTTGTGAGAGATAAATTCCAAGATTTTTAAACATCTTCAAATTCTCAACTATCTCCATGGCATGTAATTTCCTCCATAAGATACAGTCAAGTATAACTGAAAAATATAACTAATCTTTTAGTCCTTCAGTGAATCTATAAAGATAACCTAAAGTAACTTCTAAAGCCATTTTCTGTCAAGAATAACCTCTTATTTACAACATCAACTTCAGCAACTGGTTTTCTTTGGAGCCAGGAGATTTCCCCCTGAACAATATATATATATATATATGTATTTCTGTAAATTACTTTAAGAAGTTTCAATGCAGGAAGAGAACAAAAAACGGGGAAGCCACATCAAGCTGCAGCTCTCCGGCCAGGCTGGATTCACTAACTTAAGTGTCTCACACTCAGCCCACCAACCTAACAGCAAGCAGGATTCATATATGCATTTCTGCAATAAAAAAACATTAAAAGTATAGGTGTTGGACTTTTTTTTTAAGTGAGTATCTAAAATTACAAACATTAGATCTGAAAATGCCAAGGGCCTTAGAAAATAATACAAAGATCCTCCTTCATGTCTTCATGGGTCCATGGGGTCCTAGGCCATAGAGCATTTGTGTTTTGAAGGAGGTAAAATATAAGTGGAATAACTTGTGTCTTAAATATAAAGATAAAAAATTTTTTAACGTGGCGCTAGTGTTGAATACTTAAACTTCCCTCCATCTTCACCTTTGTGCCCAGTTTGACTGAAATTCATCTGGAACTATTTCCACATGAAGTATGGGAGCGGTTGAGTCGCTCCTGGGTTGTGTAAGTACCTGGATCTGTTCTTGAGTCCACTGGTCGAGGTTAACTGATTTTACCCTGGATATGTGCACCCCGAGATTCCTGTGGATTCCAGCACATCGAATGCAGATGAACACACCAATGTTCCAGGAGGCCCATCGTGGCCCTGTGGAGGTCAGGAGCAGGGCAATAAAGTAAAAATTAAAACAACATTCAAGACCCAAACCAGAATTATTTAGGTTATCAGATAACATTTCAGTTAGAATATAAGAGAGAGTTGTTACCACAATCACCTTTTAGATTTTTTAAAATTTTGTTTTTATTATTTTGGCTGGGCTGTGAGGCTTGCGGGATTTTAGTTCCCTCACAGGGATTGAACCCCAGACCTAGCAGGGAAAGCTCTGAGTCCTAACCACTGGACTGCCAGGGAATTCCTACAACCACCTTTTTTTGGTCATTGTTTTGTTCATTTTTCCAAAAATGAGCCTTTTTTAAAAAAGGTTTAAAGTTTTTAAGTGTACAATATGGTGGTTTAGTATATTCACACAGTTATGTACCATCACCACTATCTAATTCCAAAATGTCTTCATCATCCCCAAGAAGAAATCTCAAGCCCAGTAGCAGGCACTCCCCATTTCCTCCAAACTTCCCCCCACCCCAGCCCCTGGCAACCACAAATCTACTTTTTCTTTCTATAGACTTGCCAATTCTGGACATTTCATAGAAATAGAATTACATAACATGTGGGCATTTGTGTATGGAACAATAGCTTTTTTTAGAGTCTCATAAAGGTTGAACTGCAAATATTATAATATTTTTACTTATGTTTTTAAAAATCCCAGGAGAACAGTGGCAGGTCATGTCACATTCTATTTAATATGTTTCATGAACAGCCCTCCCTCAAGAAACTTTTAAAGGTGGTGAGACCTGGATTCAGTTTTCCTACTAGGAAAAAAGATACAGACATGTCATGCCAGCTCAAGACTAAGCCTGAAATTTAAAACTGTTTATCCTCCCCTCCCCACCAGGACTATAAAATATGCATCCAGATTCACTTAATAGGATCCTTTTCCCCAGGGCTAATGTCCCTACTTTACCCGACTACAGCATTATCTAGATTCAAAATTATCATATAATAAAGATGCTTACAGCAATAAAAAAAAAATCTCAGATATGTATTTTAATAAAAGTCTGTTACATAATCTCTCATCCCCTGCCAACTTTGCTCACCCTAATAATCATTCTGGAAAAATTTCAAACTCCTCTTCATAATTTTTATACAGTGTAAAAGCAACTTACTTTTATATATCATCTGCCAAAGATTTACTGAAAAATCACTAATATTTCTTTTGCCACCACTCCAGTAGGCAGAAATTCACCACATAAAAGAAGCATGATGTCAAGAGCTAGAGGTTGTGAAAAAGAAGTGAAAAGACACTAACTGGTTTTCTACAGAGATAAATAGGAAGGACCTGCATTTGGAACAAAAAGGACACAAGGTTTTGGTTCTGCTGAACACAGACAATAGTGTGGTTAGTCTGAGGGTTTTGACAGAAGTTGTTTTTTTTTATCGAAGGATAATTGCTTTATGGAATTTTGTTGTTTTCTGTCAAACCTCAATATGAATCAGCCATAGGTATACATACAGTCCCCCCCCCCTTTTGAACCTCCCTCCCATCTCCCGCCCCATCCCGCCCCTCTAGATTGATACAGAGCCCCTGTTTGTTTGAGTTTCCAGAGCCATACAGCAATTCCTGTTGGCTATCTATTTTACATATGATAATGTAAGTCTCTATGTTACTCTTTCCATACATTTCAGCCTCTCCTCCCTTCTCCCCATGTCCATAAGTCTATTCTCTATTTCTGTTTCTCCATTGCTGCCCTGTAAATAAATTCTTCAGTACCATTTTTCTAGATTCCTTGACAGAAGTTTTAATGAAGGAATGCTAGAGTCATATGGAAGAAGATTACTCTTAGAAATTTGAATCTGCAGCTATTATAAATAAAAAGGTAATTTCTAGATAAAGATATCACTCAGATACTATGGTTAAAAACTGCAAATACAGAAGGCTCAAGTCCTCCTTATAACCACCAGGTGGTGTTCTCTGCCTGAAATTTTATCCCAATACCCTCTTACTGCTATAATCTTGATACACTCAGGTTTATCTTCTAAAAAGACCTTCAGTCCCTTCAAATCCCCAGATTTGCACAGTAGATCTGCCATGTAACTAACAAGCACACAAATGATCCAGACACTTCTTTCAGTGGCAGTGAGTTACATAAACACAAAGTGGAAAACCTAAATAGATGGAAATGAGATTCCTTAGGGTTCTGTGGGTCTATTTCGGGTTACAGTTTTTATAAAGGAACTCAAGATAAAATCGATATTATACAGGATTAAAAGTGGGACCAAAAGTTAATAAATATATCATGTCTCTTTACCATTTTCCCTTTGCTCTAGATTCTAGAACTCATGATAAGATAGTTAAATTGTACTTGTTTGCTACAAAATCACAAGCCAAAAACACGAATTAAAAGTTAGCTGTGAAGTGTTACGCTATTTGCCTCCTGACCCTAAGTCTGAAGAAGGTGATTCCCAAACATCAAAGCCACTGTCACAACTGCGGAATTTCTCCAGATCGCATTCCAGAGTATAAAATCTCTGAGGAATACAGAACTAAATCCTGATATCCTGGAGCTGCCAACAAGGCCTCAGTGTAGAAACACAGGCAATAATATTTTCACAAAAAGTCAAAGGAGAGCCTCCTCTGCCCCACTCACACATCTCTCCTATGACATTTTCCCAGTGAAATACGGGCCGTTCCATCTCGGACACTCAGCTTCCTTTAGTTTTACGCTGCTTGATTTGTTAAGCTGTAACTTTATGCTCCATAAAGGATTCCAAAATTAAAGAAAAGCAAAACACAGGAGAGACAGTTACTTATATGGCTGAAAATATGGGGAAACGGGGTTGTTATTGAAAGCACAATCTTTTCAGCCAGGAAAAAACTGAGGTTTGAAGGTCAGCTTCAATAACAATTAGCTGTGTCACCCTCAGAGAGACACTGAAACCTCCTAAGCCTCAGTTTCCTCATCTTCAAAATGTGTACAGTAATATTCACCTTACAGTGCTGAGACTATGGAGGGATAATAGTAAAAGAGAGCAACATTAAAGAACATGGTACAGAGTGAGATTTCTGGAACCCACTTCCCATTCATCTACATTCATCAATAAGGGCATGTTAATGCACTCATATGTATATATCAACACCATGCAAGACCACAGAATGCTCTTATTAGACAGAAATGTGAGTTCCAGTCCTAAAACATCAGAACCAGAATCAACTGACTGAACAGCAGAAAGAAGAAATTTACCCTTGATACAATTTCAAAGTCTTCTAGAAAACATGAAATTTTAAGCAGTTTTCTAAATCTCCCCCAAATATTCCCTGAAATGTACTCCCTAAACCCCCACCTGTTGCCCATTTCTGTTAGACACCCGCACTCTGCCTTTGTGCCCACACACGCCTCCACTACACACACAAAGGAAGACGAGAAGCTGACAACTATTTGATGTGTCTAGATTACACAGTACCCTGTATTGCTGCTACAAGGCCAACCGACTGGAACATGGCCTTATAGGCAAAGATGATCCAGTTGTTCCATACACACTGGTCATGGCAACCAAGGAGAAAATACACAAAAGATGCCATTTTGAAGTTGAAAATAAAAAGAGACTCTGAGAGGCAATATTCTGAACTGTTTTGAAACCAAAGAGAATAGATAGTGACATAAACTGGTAGCAATTAGCACAACATAAGGACAAAGTCATGGCTAAGTGAACATATTCAACAGGGGCCTATGAGCGGGCTCAGGAAGCATTAGGCAATATTAAAATTAACAAATAATCGCTCTGCAATAAGGGATCAGTAAAAATGAAGAAAGCATTTGGATTTAGCAAATCTGTCAAGAAATCGGCTCTAATAAGTACCAACCCAGTATCAGGGAAATCTGGGCTTACCCTAACTATTTGCACGCCTTCTAACAAGTATTTGGAGGGTTTATTTCTCCATTTGTAAAATGGAAAGCATATGAGTAAATCCAATTTACATTCAACTACTGGATGGTTTCTGCATAACTGAGTTAACTACTGATGCTTGGCTGCAAATTTTCCTTGCTGCTAAAATTTCCCTCATCACAAGAGCTGCTGGGCCTAGAAGTGTTCTGTCTGGGCTTGAGAAATCAGCAGAGACAAAAGAACTAGACTTACAGATAGCTTGAAGTCACTATTATAATAATTATAACTCATGAATCTCTAACTTGTAGAGTTCCAAAAAATAAATGTTGAGGCAAAAAAAAAAAAAAAACCCTGCTAAATCGATGGTTACCCATAATTAGAACTGCCAGCATCTTGGAGCTGTTGAGAAGCTCTTCAACAGGAAGGGTCCAGGAAGGGAGAGAAACTCTCTTCCATCTTCCATCCAAGCCCTGTTGAATCTACCTTGGAAACTTTCCCAGAAACTATCCATTTCTACCTAGACCTTCTCCTATCTCACCCATAAGCATTCAATCTCTCTTTTTTAATGGGCGTTAAGATTTTTTTCTTGTTGGAGATTTTAAAAAGTTTTTATTGAAAAATAATTGATTTACAATGTTGTGTTAAGCATTTATTCTTTTAATATTATTTATTGAGTAGATGGTAAAGAATTCGCCTGCAATGCGGGAAACCTGGCTTTGATTCCTGGGTTGAGAAGATCCCCTGGAGAAGGGAACTGCTACCCACTCCAGTATTCTTGCCTGGAGAATTCCAAGGGCAGAAGAGCCTGGCGGGCTACAGTCCATGGGGTCACAAAGAGTTGGACATGACTAAGCGACTTTCATTTTTCACTGAGTACCTTTTATGTGCCAAATACTCTGCCTGCTGGGTACCAAGAATACAAAGGCAGAGACAGTCAAGATGAGATTCCCTAACTCAAAGAGCTCATAGACTAACAACTCCAGGCTCCCACTAGGAAAATCTCTCTAAAACACAGAACTGTACAAATCAGGCCCCAAATATAAACTTTTCACATAGTCTCAAACATAGAGGTGAAAATATAAATTGGTGTGAGCTTTCTGAATGGTGTATTCCAAACTGAACTCTCAATCTCTTACCATAAAATCTTC